TGTTTCAAAACATTGTATTGTTACAATATTTGTTTCAATTTCAGCGTCTTAAAGACTTTTTTACATGATCCTCTTGTGGAGTGGAGTAAACCAGTGAAAGGGCATTCAAAAGCATCACTGAATGAAACTGGAGAAGTTGTCAATGAAAAGGTTAGTAGAAGGTGTAGCTTGATATGAGTTTGTATTCTATGCAAAGGAGACTTGATTCTATTATCAGTGGTTATTAATTACTCTGACATTGAGTTCTCCCATCCAAATTCTAATTAAGCCCAACCCTACTTAGCTTCCAAAATCACACAAGATTGGGTGCATTTAGGGTGATATGGCTGAGGACTGAAATCTGGTTCTCTAGTATGACAATGCATTCGTTTTTTTGTTGTCATTACTTTGTTAACATTATTAGCATTTGCATAATAAAACAATTCAGAGCACATTTATTGAACCATAGACAATTCAGTTAAAAGATACAATAGGAAACACTTGAGCACAAATTACCTGAATTTAGAGATTATCAGTTTGAGCTTTAATGTGGTGACACCAGTGTTCTACAGTCCGTCTCCCCCCCCCCCCCTTCCCCTTTTTTTTTTCAAGGTTCAGAAATGTACAGACACAACTCAGGCTGAGTGATCCATGTGGAGCTGTTACTTATGACTTATGGGCACATTAGCCAACCACTTCTTGTTTAATGCAAACGTAGTGACAATGGGACACAAATGGCCTATTCCTCTAACTCACAGTCACATTCTTCTTCTCTAATCTTTAAGAACAAGTGGAGCCTTCACTTGGTTGGCCACCCCGTCGCCACTCAGTGTCTCAACAATCATGAAAGCAAATTCAAAGCTAGTCCCAGGACCACAGCTTGTAAGAATCAGACCGTCCTTTTCCATACGGATCTCAGAGTAGCTGTAACGGCTTCCATTCATCATTTTGTCTTTAGCAAGCGGGTGTGTGGTAACTTTGCTTCCAAAGCCTATTTCAGGAGCCCACAGAGCAGTAGGGTCTGCACAGATGGCAGCTATGAGGCCCTTCCACTTTTCCTGTTCCTTCTGGGTCTCTTTCATAGCAGTGGACTCGGATACATTCTGTGCACCCAGATTACCTCCTGGTAGAACCACCGCATCATACAGTCGCTCTTTTTTTGCATCTTCAAGGCTGGCATCAGGACAAATGATAACATCATGACTACATTGCACTGAGCTTTTTCCAGCCAGGCTGGCAATGGTGCTCTTAATCCCAGCTTGCCTCATGATACCTACAGAGATAACTGTCTCCATTTCCTCTTCTACTTTAGCCAGGATGACCAAAGCTCTTTTTGAAACCATTTTTATATATTTTTAAAGATCTAGACCAAACTAAACAGGAACACATGCCAGCATGCACCCACAATCAATCTTTTTTTATTTATTTATTTTTTATTTTTGGGACTCAAACCGTGGTCAGCCATGTGAGCATCCAGCACCCTTAACCACCATGCCACCTGCTGGCACCGCATCCATAATCCATATTAACAAATGTAATAATTCACTTCATACTAAAACTTGTTGAAGCCTCATAGTTTTCAGACAACTGGTTATTTTTAATAAGTGGAAAAGATTGTTTTTGCTTTTGTTATTTTCTTTTTCATTGTAATTTGTCAGAGGGCATATGCACTCACCAGAGAGAAAACACAGAAAGAGAAAATGGAAAGCACTTCTTGTAGGGGATGGTCATGCCGGAATCTCTTCTCTATTTCAACCCCCTCTCAAGATTTTAGACACACATTTCATATGCAGCTGGTGTGTTTTTTAAGCACCAAGTCTGCAACTCAAACCACACAGTTGGCCGTTTGGGATCCAGCCAATGAAGAATCATTGGGTTGATGATCCTATGAGGATTATTTTTCTAATAACATCATCTTCATTATTGTACTCTGACATGTTTTCTAAAGAGAGAAATGTATGGCGTTCCAAGTAGCTCACTTAGAACTCCTGTTTTTATGTACCTATCTACTATAAGGGCATTAAAGCATTATTACTATTATTAAAATAGTCATCAAATGTTTTAAGTCCTAAACACTTTTGATGCAGATTTCCAAAAATGCTATTCTTTAGGAATTGTAATATGGAAATAATTCCTTGTTAGCCCATGCAGTTCAGGAATATATCTAAGCATTTGATGTTCAATCAACATACTAGACTCAAAATTGGTATCTCAAGGTTTTTTTTTTTTTTTAAGAGAGAGATTTTTGCTATAGCAGTGTGTGTGCTCACTGAAGAGACATACAAAGGCAGAGAGACAGAAAGCAAGAAATCACCCCTGAGGAGAGGATATGGCCACGCCACAATGTCTTCTTCTCCATTCTCCTCTCGGGATTTTGGACACACACACACACACACACACACACACACACACACCAGCATGAGTTTTAGGCCGCTGGGTTAGGAATCTACCTACACTGGACTACCTGGGAGTCCCAATGACATAACCATTACTCCATCTGCTGGTCCCATTATTCTTTTTCTGTGTTTACTTCAAAAGAGGTGGTAATCTGTAAAATGGTGTTAACATTTATTAAATATCAAAAAATGTAGTAACTCAGCAACATCCATGTTATTGAATTCTTACCCTAATGGTTTTCTATTTTTTTCTTTTTAGGCCAAGACCCATGTTCTTGACATTGAGCAGCGACTACAAGGTATAATCAAGACCAGAAATAGAGTGACAGGACTCCCATTATCAATTGAAGGACATGTACATTACCTTATACAAGATGCCACTGATGAAAACTTACTTTGTCAAATGTACCTTGGTTGGACCCCGTATATGTGAAATTAAATTATTTCAAAAATTATGTTAATAATATAAAATTAATGCATTCGGTATTAATTTTTGGTTGTATCTGTTCATTTCTAAAGTACAACATAAGTTTCTTTATGTTTTCACAGCAATTGGTATTATTTCCTCCTGATGGTATTTAAAATAATATAGGTTCAGTTATTACGAAATAAATTGTTTTCTTAATACATACTTTGTATTCTAAGTGGAGAAATGGAACATTATATTTTTATAGTCAAAACAATGTATTTGCAAGAAGTCACCCTAATTTCTTTTTATAACAATTAATGTGCTGTAAGGATTCTTTTTTTTTTTAAAGAATTATTTTATTTAACTTTATTTATTTTTATTTTTATTTGACCAGAGAGGGACAGAGTGAGAGAGAGAGGGAAAGTGAGAAAGCAAGCCGCCAGGTCCAGGACCTGAACCACAGTCAATCATGTGTGAGTCCAATGTCCTTAACCATCACATCACCTGCCGGCCCCTTTTTATTATTTTTAAAGAATTTTATTTAACTTTACCTAATTATGTATTTATTTATTGTAATTTGACTGGAGAGGAAGGACAGAGCAAGTGTGAGAGCAAGGGAGAAAGAAAGAAAGCAGGACACCAGGTCTGGGACTCATACCGTGGTCAGCCGTGTGGGAGTTCACTGTCTTCAACCACCACACCACCTGCTGGCCCTAGGATTTATTTGAAAAACAACAAAAAACTATATCAAATAAATACTGTGGGCAGGGCACTAACTAGAATACTAGACTAGCTACACTTGTGCACAGGGTACCTCTTCTGCCCTTTTGGAACTGACAGGCAAGTAAGAGAGATGAACGTAAATTGCACATCATTGAGTTCACTTAATAAAACGTTTTTGGTATGTTTGAAAGTGTGATAAGGAAAAATAAGCCAAGATGAATGAATATGAAAACTAAATGTTTCATAATTTTAAAGATACTTTTGTACTGTAGGTTTATTCAAATGCAGAAACTCACAGTCTCTGAAGACAGCAATAGTTGGGACCAGCAGTTAGCGTAACGGCTACGTCGCTGGACTCCTATGTAACCGACCAAGGTTCAAGTCCCGGACCCAGTGGCTTAAACTCATGCCGGGTGCGTGTACATGCATGCCCAGGATCTCCAGAGAAGGGAGTGCTGTGTGGCCATCCCCCCTGGGGGGTGAGTTCTCGCTTTCTGTCTGTCTCTGTCTTTTTGGTGAGCGCATGCGCCCGATAGCAAAAACCTCTCAAAAAAAAAAAAAAAGACAGCAATACTTGAAATACCTTGAGATATTTTAAAACAAACAAATTTTAATGGAGGCCAGCCAGTGGCATGGTTAAGGTAGTCGGGTCCCACATGGCAGTGTGTTTTTTGAGTCTCAGACCTGACACTTGAAGAGTGCGTGTGCTTATGTGCCCAAAATCTTCCAGAAGGAGAACAGAAGGGATTGCAGTATAATCTCCCCCTGGGCTGTGGTTTCTCACTTTCTTTCTGTCTCAAGCACATGTGCCCTGTAGCAAATTTGAAAAAAAAAATTTAATGTATTTTCTACAAATTTTCTTGCAGAAGATTTAATGATAAATGAAAATACAAAGTAATGAAATTATTACGTTATAATGGAAAACTATTTTGAAAAAAGATAATTTCCCTTAAATTCACTTAATAGGACTATTTTTCTGTAGACTTGTGTGATAGGGGAACATGAGAAACGAAGAAGCATGAATGTGAAAACCAAGCGTTTTAGGCAAGTCCTGATGTTAACAGTTACGGGCCAGGTGTTACCTAATGTTCTTCAATAATTCATTAAAGGGCACTGTTCAAAGGAACTGTACTGTAGGTTTCCAATACCTCAGAGAAAATAACTCCCTCACTAAGCCGAATAGCCAAATCTTTCTTAAATCTTTATTTAAAAATACTGAAATTTAGGAGTCCCAGGAGACAGAAGCAGCCAGGACACGCATCAGCGTTCACTACTAGCCTTCAGACCGCCCCGCGCCGTCTTCTCGCCACGTCCGACGCGGGCCCTGAGCAGCTGCAGCACTGAGCGCGGACCCCGCGCGCCTCCGGGCCGGGAGCACAGGCCGCCGGGAGGGGCGGGCAGGCTTAAGCCCCGCCCCCGGACTCGGCGCCAATCCCGCCGCTCTAGGCGGGCGGGGCTCTCTCTGGGCGCGGCTCTCTATGGTCGAGCGGGCGGTGTGTTGTCATCCGCCGAGCGACGGCCGGAGGCGGCGGCGTAGGCCCCGGCGGGGCGTTCAGTTTCGGTTTGGCCCTGACTGAAAACTGTGTTGCCCGTCGAAATGGGAGTCCCCAAGTTTTATCGATGGATCTCGGAGCGGTATCCCTGCCTCAGCGAAGTGGTGAAAGAGCATCAGGTGGGTGAGCGAGGGCCGACGGCGGAAGACCAGGGACCTGGAGCTCCGCGGCCCTCTCCACCCTGGGACTGGGGCTTTCCAGCCTCTTTCCGCTGGTGGCCGGCTGGATGGGTGGCGAAGGGGAGGCGGACGGAAGGTTCCAGGACGGCCGGATGGTTTGGATGGGGGAGAGACGCAGGTTGCGTTTCTGTGCGCAAAGCCGCGGGGTTCACGGCCGCTCTGACAGCTCCTGCTTCGCCAGGGCCTTCCGCGAGTCCGAAATTAAGTCCTGGGAAGAAACGTTTTTAATAAATTCTCCCCTTTCCCTCCCCAAGGAGGTGTCAGGTTTTTTTGCCTACAGACAGAGAAGCTGTAGTGGATGCTTTCTTAGGGCTCGCCCAACCCCAGATTCCACCAGAGCTGCAGACTCCGGTACAAACAGCCGCCTCCGCAACTGAATCGGACTTTTCCCAGCCAGAGCCTCACCCGCCCCCACCCGGGGACTGACGCGGCCGATTATTCCCGTTTGTGATGTCTTTTGTTATTCGTTTCCTATTATCCGAAAGACAATGCCAATCCCTTACTGCGGGAGAAAGAAAAACAAAAACAAGGCTTTGACAGCCTAGGAGGGCGTTATTTGGAGGCTTCGATGTGGGTGTGTGTATGAGAGAGGGAGAAAAAGAAAGTGAAACGGATTGTTACAGCAGTAATACATAATGAACCCAGGGCAACGTTTATGTGTAGATGTTTTAAATCTAGTTTGTATGTTGTAACTGCGGAAAGGGAAAAGAAAGCAGCCTGTTCGATAAACAAGATTGTTTTTGTCCAGTTTTTAGAAATCAGCTTCGAAAAGTATATGGCTGATTAAATTAGTCGTGGTTGGTATCATTGTATTAATAGAAGAAATCTGGTGAACACCATCATGATGCCTATTAAATTATGGTTTGACCTTTTTAGAAGGTACTTAGAAAGCACGAAGGTGAAGGTAAACTTCTGGAAAGGATTCTTTGTGGGATTTCAATCAGATTTGATATATGAGAAAATCCATGCCAAAAATATTCAATATACTAATTTATTTGAAACGTATTTTGAATTAGATTTAGGGAAGCATTTATTTCCACAGAAAAGAGTTAAAAAGGGATACCAATACATTGCAGAAATAGAGACAACTTTGTTTTTTTTCCTGGATCTTTTCATCAACAAACTTTTTTAAAAAAGAACTACTTTATTTTATTTATTCATTTATTTTAATTTGACTAGAAAGAGACACAGAAAGAGGGGGAAAGTGAGAAAGCCACCAGGACCGGAATGTGGCCATGTGGGAGTGTCCAGTACCCCCACCACCATGCCACCTGCTTGCCCCAGTCATCAAACGTTTTAGTACTTGCCATGCATCAGTCATTTTATCACTAAAGTGGTGAAAACATGTGACTATTATTCAGAATAACTGGTTATACATACTTTGTTATCTTTGTTCTGTGATCTGGCAGTTTAGTTTAGTGAAAATATTTCAGATTCACTCTATGCTGAAGAATTTTGTTACTGAAAAAAAAAATCTCTTTAAGGCAGTCTTATGACATGGACACCGAGGTCAGGTTTTGTTTTTTTCGTTTTTTGGAGAGGTTTTCACTATAGGGGGCGTGCACTCACCAGACAGACAGAGAGAGACATAGAGACAGAAAGCAAGAAATCGCCCCTCAGGGGGGATGGTCACGTCGCAATCCCTTCTCCTCCATTCTCCTCTCGGGATCTTGGGCACACACGCACACGCGCCCGGCGTGAGTTTTAAGCCACCGGGTCCGGGATGCGAACTGCAGTCGACTACGTGAGAGTCCAGTGACATAGCCATTACACTGGTTCCCCGAGGTCAGGTTTTGTGAAAACTTTATTGTAACTAGAAACTGAAAGTATGGGGGCCAACGGTTGACGTAATGGCTGTGTCACTGGACTCCCATGTGGTCAGCTGCGGTTCAAGTCTTGGACCTGGTGGCTTAAACTCTCACTGGGTGTGTGTGTGTGTGTGCATGCCCAAGATCCCAAGAGGAGAATGGAGGAGAGGTGACGGGAAGCGCGCGCGGCCCACCCCCCCCCCCCCAGAGTAATTTCTCCCTTTCTGTCTCTCTGTCTCTGTCTTTCTGGCGAGCACACGCACCCTATAGCAAAAAGCTTCTCAAAAAAAGAAAAAAAAAAAGAAAAGGACATAAAAAAGAAACTGAAAGTAGGGTTATTTTAAAATTTCACTGTAAGTAAACTTTTTTCAGAGAGATTTTTGCTATAGGGTATATGTTCTCGCTGGAGAGACAGAGAGACAGAAAGTGAGAGATTACTCCCCCACCCTGGGGGAATGGCCACACTGCAGTCCCTTCTGCATTCTCCTCCTGGGATTCTGGGCATACACGTACACATGTCCAAGTGTGAGTGGATACAGGACTCAAATCGCAGTCGACCATGTGAGAGGACAGCAACGTAAACACTTAGCCATGTGCTAGCTCCATAAACTTTAAAACTTAGTACATTAATGTGGTATCTTTAAAAAAAAATACTTCATTAGAAATAAACAAAAGGTTACCAGCTACTTTCTTAAGCTGTATTGAAAAGATGGTAATACTAAATAAGTCATAGTAGTTCAAAAGCTAGCCCTGGAGGGAAGGGATAAGAAGTTTCTGGGAAGAACTTGGTAAGAGTAGCAGCATAGTTTTTAAGTTTCTCTGAATCCTCACATAAAAAAGCAGAAAAAAATAGATATCCAAATCTTAAATTTATAGAACAGTTACAGCAAATCATGTGACATAATAGCTCCATGAACCCCAAAGTACAACTAAGTAAAGACAGACTACCCTCAACTCCAGCAAAATTGGTGTTGGCATATGTACATGAAGAGGAAGGAAGCACTGGGGCAGCATCTGACAGACTTGAGAACTGAACTCCAGAATAGCAGACAGGCTTTTCCAAAGGACTATGCTGGGATTAGACAGGAGTAGCTGAAACCAAGGGCTTTTATTCTCTCTGATGTGACGGAATAAAGGGAGACCAAAAGAGCAAGAGCAGTCTTTCTTCTATGGATTCTCTAAAACTGACTTGTCCAGGTGTCATTCTAGGGCGAAACCCAACCTAAGGAAAAATTGCTGGAAGTGTAATAAATTTTATAGTGAAAGGGCCAAAAGAGACAAGAAAAGAAGAGAAGGTCCACATAAAAGTTAGTAAGAGTTACAGAATCAAGAAATCTTAGGACCAGCAGTTGGTGAAATGACTGTTGCTGGACTCCCATGTAGTTGACTGCAGTTTGAGTCCAAGACCCAGTGGCTTAAACCCACACCAGGCACGTGTGCATGTGTGCCCAAGAATCCGAGAGGAGAATGGAGGAAAAGGAACTGCGGCACAGCCATTCCCCCTGGGGGGTGATTTCTCGCTTTCTGTTTCTCTGTTTCTCTGTGTCTTTCTGGCGAGTGCACGCGCCCTGTAGCAAAAACCTCGTACGAGCCCCTTTATAAAAAACCCTCAAAAAAAAAAAAAAAAAAAAACCCAAAAAAAGAAATCTTAGAAAACAAATCATGTGTTTAACTCTACACAAAAACATCAGAAGAGGGAACTATGTGACCTTAAAGCTTTTCTGAACCCTTACTCATTTTCAAAATTCAAGAAAATTAATTTCACATAAAAATGAGCAACAGATGGGACCAGCAGTTAGTGTAATGGCTATGTCGCTGGACTCCCATGTAGTAGACCGCAGTTGGAGTCCTGGACCCGGTGACTTAAACTCACGCCGGGTGCATGTGCGTGCGTGTCCAGGATCCTGATAGGAGAATGGAGGACAAGGGATTGTGGCGTGGCCATTCCCCTGGGAGAGAGTGGGATTTTTCGCTTCCTGTCTCCCTTTTTCTGGTGAGCACACTATAGCAAAAACCTCTAAAAAAAAATTTTAAAAATGAGCAACAGAAAATTATTGAGGTCAAATCACATACAAAGTTTTTTTTTTTTAAAGAATTGTTTATTTAACTTTACTTATTCATTCATTTATTTTTAACTTGGCCAGAGAGAGGCACACATGAGTGGTGGTGGGAGTGAGAAATTAAGCCACCGGGTCTAGGACTTGTACCGTAGTCGGCCATATGAGAGTGTCCAGCACCTTCACCACCACACCACCCACTGGGCCCCATACAAAGTTATTATAGGGAAAAATGGAACAAAATAACATCCCTACAGACAATAAAAACTTAAATAAGAATATGCGCCAAAGTCCCTGCCATGGTGACATGATTGTAACACAGCACACAGCAGTGCTAGTGGCCAAATGTAAGGTCAGGATTTGGTTCTCAGGTCAACCTATACATGCTAGATGCATGCATGTCAATGGTCCTGGTTGGGTGAAAAGCTGTGTGTGTGTGTTGTTATGGGGGAGTTAGATAACAGTATGAGACCCTGTTGAAGGTGCCTTCTCTCTCTTTAAATAAATAAACTTTTTTTAAAAAAAAAGAATATGCAAAGCCCTCAGATTTGAGAGTCCCAACTTATATCTAAATTTTCATTATTTGATAACTCATGGGTTCAATATTTTATTTTTTAATTTAAAAAATTTTGTTTTTATTATTATTTTTTTAAGTTTATTCTGTTTGCTCACCATAGATAGAAAGACGGAAAGTGAAAAAGCCAGCCACCAGGTCTGGGACTCTAACTGCAATTGGCCATGTAGGAGTCTAGCACCTTAACCACCATGCTACCTGCTGACCCTGAGACTCGATATTTTCTAAATGATTGTGGCTGTTTTTATTTTTTCTTCAAAATAAATAGTGTATTTGTGTTTTTGTGAAAAGTGAAAAAAGAATATGCACACAAAATAGACCAAAACTATAACTCTGTATTTTATAATGAACTATTAGGCACCAAGAAAATGTTATAAGACATGAAAGACCAACATATATCAAATATGAAAACTCAAGAATTAGATGACAGAACTTAGAGAAAATTGGAACTAAATGAAAATATACTATTTTGGAAATGAAGCCAAAAGTAGAAGCAAGGGA